CACCACTGCCCCAGGGCCCCCTCCCTGCACTATGCCAAGGGGACACCTTACGGTGTCTACCTGGCCGGAGACCACTGGGGCAAGGACAGGGATTTTAACTAGATCCTTCCTAGAACTGAGCTATTCTCAGCTGCTGGCATGGCTGCGGGAACCCAAGCTGCCAGTCCCAGGAGGTGCCACAGCTCTGGGCTGAGAGATGGGAGCAACAGAGCCCCTTCGCCTCCCCCCCACGATGCCTTTGGCAGGCAGGGGCTGCCCCAGCCTCCCGCCCCCGCCGGCACCTGCACAGCAGTGACCCAGGGCCCCTGCTCGCTTGCTCTCCGTTTCTGTGTGAGCTGGCGAGGTGCAGGGCTGAGAGCGAGGCGGGAGCCCTGGCGAACCCAGCACTGGGAAGCAAAGCTTGCAAAGTCCACTCAAACTTCCGCTCGGGCTGCCCCGAGTTTCGTTCGCCATCCCCGTACCTGGCGGATGCCGTACTCACCACGGTCGCCCGCAGCTGCAGAGATTGCCCATGTCGCTCCTTCCTCCATGAAACAGAAGCGTCTTCTGGACAGGGAGGGCTTGTATTTCCTGGTTCCTGCTCGGCCCCTGGCTATTCCAAGGGAGTGTCTGGCAGTGTCGGATTTCTCTCCATCGCCGCAGTGACTCTCTGCTAGGCCCGTGCGTGCCATCTACCGGAGGGCTTGCCCTGGGCTCTCCGTGCCCCCGGGCCAGCGCTCACTTCTTGCTACTCAGGGCGGAGAGGGCAAGGAAGCAGCGAGCCGCCAGGCCTCAGCCCTGGGGCTAAAATTATGATTTGCACAGGGGGTGTCCCTCCGCTATCCCTCTCTCCCACCAGCGCCGTCCTGCTGATGCCAGCAGTGATGCAAAAGAGGATGGAGGAGGGACTTCAAATGTTCCTGAACAAAGGGAGAAACACCAGGGTGGGAGCAGTCAGTGTGCTGTTCCTGCTGTTCATCATTGCCTCTCAAGCAGGATGTCAGAAAAATGCGTGGCATGGGCTGGCATCATCCGGGGAAGAGAGCGTATCTTCTTGGGAGGGAGGTGGTGCCCCACTGAAGGTGAGAGCAGGCTTGCAGGTCTACTCTCAGCTGAGCTCTAGCGCTGCTGCTTCTGCTGCAGGCAGAAAGGCATATGCAACCTCAGGGACGTTACTGAGAATCCATTTTTTTTAAAGCTACCTAGATGAAAGTGTACAGATTTGTGCCTTTGAGAATGACAGAATCCCATGAGGGACCTCGCATCATTAAGCACCTGCAATATAGCTCTTAAGCTCAACCCTCAGCATGTCAGACAGGAACATTAGTGTGCATTTTACCTCTCTACCCCTGTTGAGAGCCCTTCAGACTGTGGCTGGTCATTCCTGGACTGAACGACAGGTAGCTGATCTCTGGCAACTCCAAGAGAGCTGATACTCAATACTGAAAGATACCATGTTAATGTAGTCCTCAGGCAGAAACTGTGCTCCACAGCTTTGATTTGGCAGTCAGCCCCAGTACTATGCAGGCCTGAATGCCTCATGGGATGTGCTGACAAGTGGGTAAGTTTTAATTCACACTTCTGGCAGACTATCTCAGGAACCAGCCCTAGTCCCCAACTCCAGCTGTAGCCATGCTCTCAGCCAGGCTTACAGCACCATTTATCATCTGCCCAACTGCAGAGCAAAGCTTGTACCTTTCCAAAGGTGGCAGGAGGAGAAAGGTTCTGCTTTAGAACTCCAAAACAGCTCCTCAGCAGGTGGCTGGAGAAATTGCACAGCTCAGCCTGCACCACAGCACACAGGGGAGAATTTAGGACCAGATTTGTGCAGGCAGATGGGATTCAGTCCTTATCCCAACAGGACCATGTTCTCAGGGTCCTGCAAAGACGGGGTGGTCTCAGGAGTCTGTCCCTGCTTGGGAAGTTGCAGACTGTGTGTCTCTGGGTTCTCCACAGACACTGTTGATTTAGTGACCCAGTGTCTGTTTTGATTTCTGGGATAACTTGGGCTTTGTTGCTTTGTGGAGAAGAAAAAAAAAAAAGGCTGGGAGACTGTTCCCATTAGCCCATTTCACAAATACTGGAGCTGCTGGTTTGAGGTCCACCAGAGAAACAGAAAGGCATCAAAAACATTGGCAGAGCTGGAGAGCATTTGGCTGCCATTCTGCATTCCCTCCTCAGTCTGTGTCTGCAGGGATGAAAAAGAGCACGACTTCCAGCGCTCCTGCTCAGCAAACTGAACAGGCTATTTTGTGCAAAGCCTGCCAGGGTGCAGAGGAACAGTGCAGTGGCTAACACCAGGCAGTGCCAGCCCCTCTCACTGCATCACTACTCGTGGCAGCTGTCTTCATGCTCTCAGGGACATCGTCTGGGTAACAAGCTGTGCAACTGGCACAGGACGAGCCTGCAAGTGCCCAGCAATAGAGAATGAACTCGTTTGAGAGCAAAGACAGGGCTAATAAAAGCCAGAGGAGGAACAGAACTGTGTAATGACTACTAATGCTGTGCATTTCTATTGCAGTAGTGTCAAGGCACCTTAGACACTGGGGGACTGGGACCACACTGTGATAGGTGTGGTACAGGCACACAACAAGCTGGCACTGTCTATAAAAAATGAAGGAGAGAGAGCTCTGAACTGTTTGGGGCACTTTTGTCGTAGAACCCGCTCCCTGTGCAGTGCCAGCCCTGGCCACATGCTGTTTTCAGCCACCAGTGGTTGAGCAACCCACAGCCCTTGTGTTGCAGTCAGAGCAGAGCCAGATGGCATTCCATGCTCTAGCATGTGCCATGTCTGTATGGTGTAAGTATGTGTACTCCTTCAGCCAGGCACCCTTTGCCCAGCTTTCAGGTCATATGTTGGCCATCCTCCCTATCCCCAATCCAGTGAAGATGTTTATCCTAGTGACAGGAGGCCTGCAGTGAGTGAGAGGACCATCGATCCTTCTTACCAGCACAGAAGATGCCAGATCAGAGGCAAAGAAAAGCCTTTTACAGTTGCTTCTCTGAAGTGGCTGTGAGTTTGAAGACTCCTTTTATGGCAGGGGACTAAGAAATTTATGGCTGTACCTGACCCCATACACAGACACAGGTCTCTGCCCTCACCACAGGGATATGGGCTTGGGAACTCAGTCCTCCTGGGACTCAGGACATGGGTGGGTGCTGCTGCGAATGGGATGCGGCGTGTATCTGGTGCAGTGCATGAGGCTGGTGTGCCATGCACTGAGGAGCAGAGAGAGGCTTATATACAGGGGAGCAGTTAAGGACTGGGCTGTTCCTGCCCTTACAAACAGCTGCTTCAGGCGATTAAAAGTCACTGCCCCAGGATTATCTCTGGAATTATTATTAATGACTTAGACAAAGCCCGTTGTAAAGGTGATTTTTATTTTGACAGTGTCTGAAATACTTACTAGCAGCAGATTATCTGGTCCTACTTCACGAGTAAGGGCATCCCTCAGCAGCACAGACTGTGAGGATGGGTATCTGATCTGTGCCGGGGGGGATGGAGGCTTAGCCATCCTCCTACTTTCTCTCATGAGGCTGGCAGGCAGGGCTGCTCTTAATTTAACTCTGGTCCTCATTGCTGGCAGAGGCCCTGAGAAGTAGAAAATAGCTGCACAGTGGTTCACTCTGGTTTGGATCCCACTTTGCCCAGCAAGGGTGAAAGAGCAGCCTTATACCACTGTTTCAGCAACCGAGAAGGTATGCTGCATGGGGTATAGACTCCTGAGCAGGGTATTTCTGGCCCTATGTATTCATGGAGGCAGAGTGCAAAAGCCTGCAGGTCACATCCCAGCAGGGAGAGGGAGAAGCTCTGTCCACAGGGATCTTGGAACCTCCTCTCTTCTCTGTGGGAGGGCTGCAGTCAGGCATGCCAGGGACCCCCATATTTGGCCAGTGACACAGCATTTTGGCTGCTTTAATTGGCTCTGACAAGACAAGGATTGCAACTGGCATCTGCTGAGCCCCCAAGGCCATCCAAGGCAGCAGCTGCCACCGACAGCAGCACACATGATCCCTGGCCCAACATCACAAGACTACAGAGAAATTTCTCATGTAGCTGGTAGCATCATGGTGTCTGCAAAAGGGGCAAAATTCATCCCCTCTGTGAATCTACAGAGTGCTGGGATGACAGCAAGGCACTTGGGATCTGAGTAGAGCCTTTCCCTTCAGCATTTTGGGGTTCACTCTCCTCACAGGGACTGAGAAGGTCTATGTGTGAACAAGCCTTATGTCCCATAAACTAGAGGGCTGAAGCATGGCTTGGCATTTGTTTACTTGGGCTAACTCCAGCTGCAGGTCTGGAAATGCACAGTGAGCCTCCAAGAGCCCATCACTCTACATCTTTTCTCCTCGAGGCTGCTGCCCACTGTGGGCTCCCTACAGCAGCAAGCAACTCCAGCTGCACCTGGGCCAGGAGGGCCGATCACAGAGGTTCCCCCGGCTGCCCCATGGACAGAGTCCCTCCAAGTCCCCACTGATGCCATTTCCACAGATGGGCTCAGTGTGAACATCTGGAGCAGCTAAGGCACTGTCCCTCCTTCCTGCTGCAGAGCAGCTTGGCCAGAAGCAACATGAATCCAAGGCAAACAAGAGAAGATCAGAGGCAGATTTATTCCTCTCTCCTCCTGAGAGCTGCAGGCACTTTTACAGACCAACAAGTACTTTCCATCTCCACAAAGGTCAGCCACCAGCTCAGAAGTGAGGCACTGGGGTTATCTCTTCTCTCTTCCCAGTACCCTTCTGGGCTAGAGCACAGCAGCTGTTTAGCAGTCCACTGCGACACAGCCTCACAGTTTAGGGTGAGAGTGACCCTTGCCATTTGGGGTGAGAGAAGAGCACCCTGCATGGTGCTCAGTGAGCACTTGACCTAGGAGAAAACTTGCATTACCATCTCTAACACTTTAGTCTCCCTCTTTTTTTCAGTTCCAAGTCCCTTTTTCCAGCCATCAGCCTTAAGAAGCAGAAGTCTGGCATATATATGGCTGCCTCACAGCCCTGCTAAACACTGATGGTGAGAAATCGGGGTCTGGCACCGTGGATTCCCCACCCCTGTTCCCCCCACCTTCCCTGTGCAAGCCCAGATCTGGGGCCTTTAGGACTCTTCCTTCCCTTTTCCTTCCTCAGACTGTTCTTCTTTTCCCACTGGCTGCTCCTGTTGGGTTATCTTCACCTCGTTTACTCTGGCCTTCACCTCCTTCCCCGTCCGGGGAGCCACAATGCTTAAGATGCCATCGTGGGACAATGTGGCTCTCACCAGCAATGGGTCGACATCCAGAGGGAGGATGTAGGTCCTGGTGAACTCTCGGGAGATGAAGCCATGGCGGTCAGCCTTCTGTGGGTGCTGCCCCATCACCTCCAGCAGGTTGTCTACGGTGCGGACGGTGAGCTCATCCGGCAGGAAGTGACAGACATCCAGGAACACCTGGAATTTGTGCTCATTGAGGCTGATCTCAGAGGTGCCTCGATCCAGCTGCTTATTGATCCGAGGCCTGATGTAGTAGCCATGGTACAGGGCAGGGGCTAAAATCTCACATGGGGACACACCTGAAAATGAGACTCAGTAAGGAGTGTGGGGTTTCCAGGCGAAGGAGTTGGAGAAGGATGGTTGGCAGCAGATAGGGGAGGGTGACAGGAGGAGGCTGGGACCTGGCAAACACCTTGGTTTTGCCACCACATCAGCACAATATGGATGGAGTCTTTTGTGATTCCTACCTTCGTGTCTCTAAAACACACACAGAGCCAGATGCCTGCCAGCCACTGCCTCCCACCACACAGCTGGCAGCTGCCAGCAAGCCACGGGCTGTCATCCAGCTTTCGCATGTTTCCTGGGTGGACAGGGAGGGACTGGTAGGTGCACTGGGCGCTCTGCAGTGCAAAGCCCACAGCCAGGGATGGGCATGGAAAATGCTGATGGTGAAGAAACTGCCCTGAAGAACTAAAGGCCTTTTGTATGCCATTGTCCAGGGGGCTTTCCTTGGAGCTTTTTGCCTTTTCATGCTGTTGTGCTGGTGCTGAATGGTTCTGCTGCTGCCCACATTCCTTCCCCTCTGCCAGCCACTGCCTGGCTTTGTGCTGAACACCCCAGCTCAGCTTTTCTCCACAGCCTCAGGCTGCAAAAACTCCCCCCGCCCGGGAGCATTTTGTTCCATGTTTGCACAGCATATGCATGAATGCCAGACCATTGGGGGCATGAAAGAGGGACAGGAGAGACAGCAGTAGGCATGGATGGAGAAAGTGGACCTGAAAAGAGAGCCCTGGCTATTCCCTGGATATTCCCTGCTGATTTGACCTGGGTTCTTAAGCTCAGATTTCCTTGGCTCCAGCTTCCCTAGCCTGCTCTGGAGCTCAATCTCCCCAGGGGGACTCTACCAGCCCTCCTGCACCAGAGGAGGGAGGGGGGGGGGGGGGATGTCCCATCTCCTTTCTTACCTTCTCCAAAGTTCTGGTCGTAGATCTTGCTAGGGTTGGCAAACTCGTACTCCGAACTCATGGGGTAGGCATGGGGGACAGTCCGTGCAGCCATGGCGTGTCCGGGAAGGGGACCTTCCAAGCACTCACTGCCTCTGAGAGTGAAGGCTCCAGATTGCAAGGTTTTAATTGGGCGAATTCCACAGGGAGGAGTGTGTGATAAAAAGATGGACCAAAATAGCCACATGCACAGGCCCCAGGATGCCTCGCCAGGGTGACGAGGGAAGCTTCTCGCTGCATTCCAGCAGGGAGTGCAGGCACTGCCTGCAGTCAGGGACAGCTCAGGAAAATCCCACACCTCCTCCCAGCCTCTGAGATACCTTCCTTGAGGAGGGGGTGCAGGAGGCAAATGGGTAGCCAAGTCCAGCAGGGAGGCACAAAGGTAGGCTGAGAGAGGCTGAAGTAGGAGAAAGCAGGGCAGACCTCAGGCTCTGCTGCCTGCTGTGCTCCCAAAGGCAAGGGCGAGCAAGAAGGCTCATTGTAAGCAGGTTCAAAGAGTCTCTGACACTGGTCCTGCTGGCCCTGAAGCCCCCTGTGGGGACAGGGCAATAGCTAATGCTGTCTGGTGCTTGGTCAGGTCGTGCAAAGTCATGTGAAGTCACTATGACACCCATCAGCCCACTGGGAGCTTAGGTCCCAGATCAGCCCCTCCTGTGCCCTACACAAAGGAGCTTGATTTTCCCAGAAGCTGAGTGGATGGCTCAAGCCTTTTGTTCCTATGAGTGGTGAAGTGCTGCAGGTAGTTAAGGATAGACAGGATCCAGATCCCACTGCTGACACCTCCACATCCCAAACCATGCTGCTGCAAGCTGGCTGTCCAGACTGTTCCCTGGCCAGGGCTTTGGCAGAAGGTAATGAGACCCCAAGAAATGCTTGTGCCAGAGATCATGAGTTAACCAGGGATCTGAAGCTGGCATAGGTCCAGTTTTATTGAACTGGGGGGGGGGGGGGACAGGGGGAGCAGGGAGGGGAGTAGTGCCCAATTAAGCTCCTTATACCCTGAAACCAGAGATTTCCTTGAGTCCTGCAGTATGAGAGAGCAGGTGCACTGCTGTTGATGTAATGGGGAATTGGAGAAGGTATTTATGGCCTGCGCTGTTGCACAGAGCAACTTCTGCTCCCTATTCTTGCAGGCAAGCTGAGATGAAGAGGGTCAGACCTTTTTGCAAAGGACTGGTGGTGCTAGCAGTAAGAATTATGTGCCTCTGAGCCAGTAATTGTATTCAAGTTGCGAGCTCTCAGAGGCAGAGACTAGCTCTTGCTCTTTAAGGACAGTTGCTAGGCTGAACCCATTCCCATAATTTAGGTTCACAAGTGAGGCAGGAATTAAAATAAATGTGTGAATTAAGATGTATTAGGAGCATAATTATAGGAAATCAGCTTACTGCAGGGGCACAGGGAGACAGAGGTAGCTTGCACCCCTGAGAAAGCATGTCTCAGTGTAGCACCATGGATGCCGTTGACATGCCCAGTTTATCTCTGCTCACAGCCCTCTGGAGTACTCTGAGGTCACAGAGTGTCAGGCTCTTCTGCTTTCTCCAGCAAAGTGGTTTCTGTAGTGGGCAAAAGATGAGAGGTGTTGGGCTGAAGCACTGTGGAGAAAGCCATCCTTCATTCGCACACATACCAATGGGCATGCACTAAGGCAGTGAGGCTTACTGGGCTGCAGAGAGCCACACTGCCAGGGTATCTCGCAAAGAACATCCTGGGATCTTTCCTGCTTTCTAGCTAAAGCAGACCTGTGGCTTCTCTTGCCTTAAAGAAAGGCAGAGCTCTTCCTAGACTGGTGTGTGATGTGGGGAGCTGAAGTCTCAGTGCTGACAGTGGGAACAATGGCCCCTTGTCATTTTCCCTGTGAGCCAAAGATAGGAGCTGCATTGATTCTGCTGGCATCCAAAGCAGCTGGGAACATCTGCCAAGCCTGCCTGGGACTCTGCAGATAAACAGCACGTGGGGAGCGGGGAGGGTGGCTGGGCAGTTTGGCTTCTTGCTGCCCCATTAGGCTCCTTTTCTTCTTCTCCCCTTCCCCCTCCTCCTCAGCAGTGTGTTCAAATCCCCCAGACAGTTACTGGGCACCACTGAAGGGACCAGCCCAGGAGTGGGACAATAAAATCCCTGACACCACTGTTAAGGGGGGGGGGGGGGGGGGGGAGGGGGGAAGGCCAGGCCAGCTGCACGGGTATAAAGCTGTCCCACGCTCCCGGCACAGCACTGCAGCACAGTTGTTTGCCAGGCTCCTCCAGCGCACTCCAATGGATATCACCATTCATAACCCCCTGATCCGCAGACCCCTGTTATCTTGGTTGGCACCAAGTCGTATCTTTGACCAGATTTTTGGAGAGCACCTGCAGGAGTCAGAGCTGCTCCCTGCTTCCCCCAGCCTCAGTCCCTTCCTGATGAGATCCCCCATTCTTCGGATGCCCAGTTGGCTAGAGACAGGACTCTCTGAGGTAATCTTCCCTTCTTACTGCTTTTTGTTATTGCTGTGTGCACGTCCTGATGGGTCTGGAGCTGCAGACCCATGAGACCTGAGAGCTTGGAAGCTGCTTGTAGGTGGTTATTAGGAAAAGGCTGGGGAAAAGGGTGCTGTGTTTGTGCCTCTGCTCCTCTGCATTAGGCAAGAACCTCTGCATGCTCTGCTAAGCAGTTGCGACTGACAGCAACTATTGCCATAGTGTTGGGAATAGAGGCAAACTGAGCTGAGTGTGTGCAGCAAATGACTGTAAGAGCTGACAGAAGAAAGGAGGAAGCCTAATTTCCTTACCTGCTGTGCAAAACTTTCAATCCCACTTCCTCCTGAGAAGCAAACAGCACAGGGGTAGTGGGCCGGAGTAGTGTGATCCTCATGTCAGGCAGTGTGGGAGCTCATGGTTGCTGAGGAAAAAGGGGCCTATTTTAAAGAATCACTGCTGAGAAGAGCAGTATTTTAAGTAAGTTATAGGACCCAAAGGATCATGAAGCAGCCATCTGCCTGCTTCAGGGGCTGAGCCAGGAGGCACGCAGTTCAAACAACCTTGCCTGTTCTGCGAGTCAACTGTCTTATTTACAAGTAACTTGTAGAGCTATTCTAAGCCAAATGAGTGAGAGGAAAGTATTTTTTTAATCTTTGCATAATGTTTCCCTTGATTTAGTGACCTGGGTCTCGCTGTCCGCTGAAGCAGCCATAATAAGCACCACAGATAACAACATCTGACTATCACAGTGGAGAAATCTTCGCAAATATTCTAGAAGGAAGAGGAAACACTTAGACTTCCAAGTCAAACTGCGGAAACCAATAAGCCTAGAGCTGGCACAGAGGCTGCCTCCACATCCCAGCTCACACGCTCCCTGACCACGAATGCAGCAGGAAGGCAGAGACAGCCAGCTCATATAGCAAAGTCCCCCAAACGTGTCCAAGACAGGCAGAAAATGCAAATTCAACCTCAGGAAGCAGCAAAAAGCAGTATTTGTTAGAGGCGATAAAGGGCAAAATGGAAGTGAAGGAGGTGAGATTAGCAGCAGGTGACTCAGAGTTTCAGCAGAAGTCCTGCTGCTCAGATAACAGAGGTGAGCAGTGAGGCAGTACTGCTTGCCAGTGACACATTATTTTGGTTACTAAAGAGTGACGATGCAGGCGTAAAGCCTGCAAGCCTGAGCTGCAGTCAGCTGCACGGTCAGGGTTTCTTTTGCTTGAAAGACTATGCAAAATCCAGTCACAGAAACTGGAAACCTTCAGACATTCTGTTAAAAGGACTGGATGTAAAACTAAAGAGTCAGTTTTAACAAATTCAGATTAAGAGAATCTCTTCCTCACTCCCAAGGAAAACATTTATCTCATGTGATCAAGAGAAAGCATTACCATTTTAGATTCTGTAGTGATGGGCATTAATGTAACAGGCCAGCAAGGGACAAAGCCATCCAGATCAGAATCCCAGGACTGAGTGAAGGTCAGACATGCATGTGTAGATAGAAGCTTGAGTCTTGAACTGCTATATTCTGAGAGCCTTTTTAAGCTGAAACCCTCACCTGCTCTTTTCTGAAGTCCCTTCCTTGTTTTGCAGATGCGACTGGAGAAGGACAAATTTTCTGTAAATCTTGATGTGAAGCATTTCTCCCCTGAGGAGCTAAAAGTGAAGGTGCTTGGGGACATGATAGAAATTCATGGGAAACACGAGGAGCGCCAGGTACTTCTGCTTTATCTGTGCGACTGATAGTCAGTGTGAGCTTCCTCATCTATGGTTAAACAAGGAGACTGCAAAACAATCCTCTCCTGTGCTCATCTCAAATACTTCTAATGTTTTTTACCAATCAATCCTAACGGAAGATGCTCTGTGCACACACCCCACCCCCAGCTGATCCCAGACTGAGCAGCAACAGGGTGGAGATGTATTGCTGATGTTACATGAACTGTGAACTGAACTGGAAAATCATCTTTGAAATGGGCATTTCTGGGCCTCCTTCTCTCTGGGAAGAGGCCAGGAATGCAGTGAGGCATTCAATAAGCTAACAACGAACTGTAATAATTAAACCACACAATGAATCAGTGCATTGCCCTGTTCTGTTACCATAAGGCTACCTCTTCCTGAAAAAGGCCCATCTATCAGTTTGTAACCCTTAAAGGTTGTGTTCCACTGTCAGTCATCCCACAGCTTGCTGGCTCTAGAGACCTGTGTGGCAAGTGGGCAGACAGAAGTCAAAAGCCATGTCCAAAGCTGTATGTAACAGGGCTTGCCAGACCCCATCACCCTCCCAACCCCCACCCCCTGCCTCCTTGCCAGAAGGAAACGAATATGCATAATAAAGTAGCTATGTCACTGGAACTGTCAGCTCTAAGAGCTTCTGGGAGCACAGATCTGTCAGTCAGGAAATAACAGCATTACTTGTAGCTGGTGGAAGCCTGTAATCCTGACATAGCTTCAGCAGATTTTTTCGGCTAAGAAAATAATCAAGCGCTATAGCAGAGATCAGCTCACTAGAAAGCTGTGTATTACTGGAGCTCTGGAGACCCTCAGGAACAGGCGTGGTTGGCACTGCATGTAAGTCTAGCTGCTGCATCTTAGGAATGACAGCTCACCACTGTGCAATGAACCCAGTCTCTGGCTGGCACAAGAGCTGGAACATAAAGCCTCCTCCTGTAAACACTGCACCTGCAGGCACCTGCAGCCTAGGCAGGGCAGTGTCTCACTTTGGCCAGTCTTGGCTCTTTAAAAAGGGCATCTCATAATAAAAACTCTTTTAACTTTCCGAAAAGTTTTCCTTTGAGAGCTGGAGCTTCCTGATCTCAGACTTTATGCAAAGGACCCGTGGTTTAGGTGGAACTGAGTGAACGTTTCTAATCAGGGATGTTCCTTTTCTTCTCCTTTTGAAGGATGAGCATGGCTTTATTGCCAGGGAGTTCAACAGGAAATACAGAATTCCAGATGATGTGGACCCTCTGACCATAACCTCATCGCTCTCTCTGGATGGTGTCCTGACTGTGAGTGCACCAAGGAAACAAAGTGATGTCCCCGAGCGCTCTATTCCTATCACCCGTGAAGAGAAGCCTGCCATTGCAGGAGCCCAAAGGAAGTAGGCTGCTATTTAAAGTCACCCCGGGGGGCCATTCAAGAGCACTTTTCATCAGATGCCAGCTATACTGAATGGCTACTCATATTATTTATGCTGAGTAAGTTTACTAACAAATAAAACATGAATAAGCAGTTTGTATTTTTTTGTTTTGAGCACTGAGGACAGGGGAAGTGTTGGGTCAAGAAAGCTGTGTAAGGTTGCTGTGGAGGGAAACATACCTGGCATCAATCTTGTTTACACAGTGGCAGGCAGGTGCGTCCAGAAGAGCTTGTCTTGGTGTTCAGAAACACTTTGCTAGTTGCACTTCGCATGCTCTAATGTTTTGCAAACATCTAATTGCATGAGCCTTTTCCTTCAATGTTGCCAGAGGATTTCAGAGTGTTTCACAAGCAACAGAAAAGTTTCTCCAGTGGAAATTAGACTGGTAAAACAACTTCATGACAATCGAAACCCATTCGAAGTGTGGATATTAGATAACAACTGAATGGAAGACAACTGTATCTTAAATCTCTAGAATGACTCATGTTATGGAGAAGCATGCAAGTGCTGCAACCAATTCAGAGCAGTTGCAGATGAAAACTGCATAGCTGCAGTAAAGACAGATATATCCAGAGAGGACAAAAATGTCCTGCTCTCATGGTTCAAATCACATCACTTTGAAACTATGTTGTCAGTGCCCTTCAAACAATGAACAGGATCTGACATCTACAGTATTAATCTGATTTATGCTAACATTGTTGCATGGTACAAAACACTACTAAGTCCTTTGCAGGTGTCATCATCTGTTTACCACCTCTCTTCAAAGGGATATGAGCATAAAGGAAAGTCTGTATTACTAGAATTGAATTTCTAAAATTCATCTCCAAAAAGGATGGAATGCCATAGATCTGTCGCACAGATCATCAGACTCAGTTATGACCTATTTTCTATGTTCCTTATAACTTCTGAGACAAAAGTTACATTAGAAGGGATCAGTTTAAATCTCAAATGAACTGTGAGGACATCCTTCTTCCATGGCTTTAAGTGAGAAAAAGAAAATGAGCACTCAGTGATGTGGGGTCATTGTCAAATACCCCAAATCCCACCTAATTGCCAAGGTCTAGCATTTCCTATTAGCTGGTTCTAATAAGCTCTTCCAGTTAAGGTGTTAGTTAGGCTTGACTGACAAGGCGCAGGGTGACTAGTGACTTGCAGTCACCTCTGCACACAAAATAAACAACAGAAACACACATAGGTTACAAACAATACAGCTTAGAAAGCAGGAAGAACATTTTTCACATAATGCTACATTTGGCTTTAATGTGTGACAGGTCTTTTTGCTTGAAGGATATCCTTGTAGCACTGCCGGCAGAGAGGCCTCCTGTTTTTCTGAAGGCATAGTGTTCAGATTCTTTCCATCTCTGTTACATTTCTTGCATCCTTCTTGTTCCTTCTCTGACTGTTGGACACAGGCAAAGAAAATGCTGCATATGGAGGCCTGTAGTCTATTGTGTAGCAGGACTGAGCAGTTGGGTTGAATGAAGGAGGTTCCAACTCAGGGTGGTGGCCCAGAAACCAATGAGGTTCTCATTCAAATCCTAAAAGAATAAATACAAAAAACCTTGAGGAAGTAAGTGCAAAATTGCAATAATATATCCAGAAAATACAGCTGAGGGAAATGGGAATTTTGAGTGAAAGCTCACTGGGGATAAACGTGATGAGGTTAGCTAGACAAGAACACCTGAAATGCAAATACCACTCCCTGAATGACTCGAAATACCTGTTCTGTGGTGGCACAGGAGCACAGCCCAACAATGAGAAAATGACAGAAAAGAATTGTGTCATCTCTAAGCACAAACGTCATTCAGAAGCTCCTCTTTTGCTACACTACAGATCCAACAGACTATGTTTCAGTTATGTGCACATACTTTTTATTCCCTGATGCTTTCCCTTGTTGTAATCTGAAGCGTATGTTGTTTCAAAGCAGTGAGTGTACTGAAAAACTCACATTTAGCATAGCTAAGTGTAAGTAAAAAACTTTAACATTTTTTATCTTACAGGAAGACCAAAGTATCTGCAATTGCACTACTACTTTCAGATCAGTCTAACCTAAGATCACAAAGCTTCAGTGATGACTTGTGAGTCATCATCTGAACAGCAAAGGAAAGAGAGCTGGACTGGGGCCACTATTAGGAGTAAGACTGAGTTTACACAAAAAAGCATTCCTCACATCTTTACTGCTGTAGAGGAACTGTTGTAGGACACTCATCAGAGAAAAGGGTGCTGACTGTTGCCTTTCTGCATTTTTAAAAAACAGTAGAAAAGACTAGGAGCAGGGCTGCAGAAAGGGAAGCTACTCACGGGACGCTTACCTCTGATGCATTTGTAGCTGGGGATGGAAAAGATAATGCCCTGTGTGCATGACAAATTAAGTGATCATCTCAACTGAGATTTGCTATATCCACAATAAGGAAAAGCACAAGGACATACCTGGGAAGGAGGTGGCTTGGGCTGCACAATTCTCTGGGATATCGTATTGCTCTTCATTCCAGTTCCCTATAAGGGTTTTTGTTGAGTAATCATTTTCATTGGTGGTGCACCTCCAGCCATACTGGGAAAACTTGTAAGTGCTGTCCCAGTCCATCCACAGTTCCCCATGGCCGGTAGTATGCATTAAGGCGCCATGGAGGGAGTTATACAAACAGATCTTGGACATGATTTGGCAATAGAAATCAACAATTCCCTAGGATCAGCTTGTGCCTCAAGAGCATGTAACATGACATGGAATGTTGTCCCTTCCACCTCCCTGGTGACTGAAGAGGGACCTCGTATACTTCCACGGGTGCTAGTGGGCATCAGAGAAGAACTGTGTTCCTTCTTGATGCCAAAATTTTTTTTTGGGGGGTGGGGTGTGCATGGGTAGGTGTATAGCAAGTACGTATCTTCCTAAACTGTGATACTGCATTTCTCAGCTTCACATTACTGAATACCTCTCGTAACTTACCCACCCTTTGAAATAGACAAAGTGATTTATGCAAGCCCACAGGGACCTAATGCCTGAACCAGGACCACACCTCATCAACTGCAGGCAGTAGGTCTCTGCTGGAGCTTGCCTTTGCCAATTTTAAACCTTCCGCTGTCATCACTCATGTGACTCCCGAAACACTGTCCTGGCCCAGTACAGCAGCTGAGGGCACGCAAATGGAACAGGTGGCACCAAAGCATGGCTACTCTCTCCCAATCCGTGACTCGCAGTCCTGGGACTGCGGCGGCCCGCCAGTGACAGCTCCCGGCCTCGCCAGGGGCGCCGGCAGCCATTTGGGCCCCGCGCAGAGGGTCCCTGAGGGGGAGCGGCTGCCGACAAAGCACCGGCGAGGCCCGCAGAAGCCCGGGCCGCCCACAAGGGGAGAAGCCCCTTCCGCGGCGGGCCCAGAGGGAGGCGCGG